AAAGGTAAAATTTAATTTGTAATAAAAAAGATACAAAAATATTTATAAAGAAAGTCATGCTAAAAAGTATAAGAAATTTATGTTATGCAAAAATTAGTCACTTTATATTTTATTGATAAATAAAATAAATTTTCCTTCAAAAATAAATGGTGGAATTAAACATTATTTTAACATCTGCATATTTATGATGAAAATTGGTTCATTCTGTACAGATGTAAAAAAAAAAAAAAACCAGCAGTCACTTCCAGGAAAGGTGAATTTTTTGAAGACCAAATTAATTGCTGAAAGCAATTAAAAGGTGGTTCCATGCTCCTCAAAACCTCCTGATTACAACTGCCTTGCTGTTGGATGTGGTTTAACACAATTACTATTTTACCAAATTCATATGTAGTTTATTGTCATACCCAGATGCAATAAAACTTGTTCAGAAAAATAAAAATAAGAACTAGATGAAATATCCCAAGACAGAAAGTGAAGGGGAATAAAAGAGAAAAATCCCCATAATTTTAAAGGGAAATTCAAAATTCCTTATTTTAATTTCAATATATATTTGTTTATATATATATATATATATATTTTATTTTGACATTTGGACTCACAACAAAAAAAAAAAACAAGATAAAGAACAATAGTCTGATTTCAAAAGACATCTTTCTATGAAGTTTCAGACTGAAGTTCAAGTTTCTTTTCAAAAATGGATTATAAATCAATTTTTTTTTTTAGGATAATAGGAATTTAAAAGGAAAAAATTTGTTTAAAAAAATGATTACAAGCATATAATTTTTGAGTTGACCTGGAACAAAGATTTGATATTTATTTTTTATCACTAGTAGATACTATATCAAAAGGTTTTATTTTTTTTAAATCTATTTTGTATTTTTATGTGTTTGTTTGTTTTTTTGCCTGTAAATGATATGCAAATGTCAAATAGCAGAAAATCATTTCCTAAATCAAGAAGACAATACACAAAGACAACCAGGACTTTAAAGGACTTAAAGAGAAAATTTACTGAGGAATAGGGCAAAAAAGAACAGGAAGATTGACAAGATGTTAAATGTTTCAACAAATAATTGGCTGGAATAGATAAAACAGAAGAGAGTTCCACAGGCAAGAAAAAAAACTGGGTGAATAGAATTATGAAAACTACCTTTCACTATTTCAAGACATTAAGAAAAGATGTGATCTTTTGGGATGGTGAAGTAACAGTTAAATTCATGTGTTCAAGGATGAAGGAGGATTTTTTTCATTAAAACACACATGATAAAAATATTTATAGAAAAACAAAAAAAAAAAAAAAAAAAAAATATGACAATTCAAAAAACCAAAAAATATTTATAGAAAACTATTTCTAAAAACCACATCATGACAATTTGTTTATATATTTCAAAAAATCAGGACAAAATATATATTACAAAATGAACTTTAAATTTTGTTGAGATTCCCAAGACACAAATGACCAGAAAACCAGATCAGAATGGCATAATATATAATATATATATATATATATATTTATAAATAAATAAATTGTTTAGTACAACCAGCTAAGTTATTGGCATGAACATGTAAAACATGAGTAAAAACACATATTATATCTTAAGTTATATTTAATTCTGTACTGTACAATTACATATGCATGGTCAAGAATCAATTGTTGGAAAACAAAAGGCCTGTTTCTATGGGACTCAAATATTCTTTTGAGGTTGATCATAAATAATTTCTGTTTTTTCCTATTAACTTTAGCCTTAGGAAAACACTTTGAAAAACAATATAGTATCCATTCAAATAAACAATCTGTAATTGATTTTAAACACCATTGGACAATCATTAATAAAAAGCCACATGTTTGAAACTGATGGCTGAATTCTGATATAAATGATGTGATGCTGAAAAATCAGAGAAATAGGATAAAAACAGTTTATTTAAAATCAGTAACACACCATCAAAAAACCCGATATTTTTGATTAAAATGTTATCGAAAGGAACTTTACAGATACAGAAGGACATGTAGATGTTTTTAGATAATTACAGCCAAACTGATGAAAAAACTTTTATTTTGGGAATGAAATATAGAATTTTCAAAAGAACTCTTTACTTTGTCAAACTTATTTCATACAGAAGAAAATATCAGCAGATATCAAAATCAGAAAGAAGTGTAAAACAAGGATGTGTTTTCAGATCACTTATTTAACTTATGGATACATCTGATTAAAAATTTCTAGAAGATTTACCAGGATTCATTATTAAGAGAAACAAATAGATAAAGGTATGCAGATAATTATTTTGTTGATAACCAGACACGGAAAGAAAGCTACAAAATTCCTAGAGAAGTAGAACTACACCCAACTGTAAGAAGAACTTTTCATTAAACATATTGCAAATAGAAAAAATGAATGTTTGTTGGCCAAAATATGAGCCCAAAGTGAGAATACACATTTTTTAGATACAAAAATTCAAGCGAATATGATTTAAATATATAGCATGTGTTTCACAAAGACTATTTGTTATGGGACCTTACCCATAATAACATAATGGACTATTCCATACGTAATAAATACTGCGCCTTAAGAGGAAGCAGAGAGTTCAGTCTGAAGTCTGGAGTGAAGTCTGTCAGGAGTCTGTCAGTCAGCAGAGTGAGTCAGTCAGTCGAGTCAGAGGCAGTCCGAAACAGAGTCCTGTTCAGACAATTACTACTAAACCTGATTGTTCGTACTAACACTTTCTACTTCTCTGTATATATTCCTGTTTGTAATATATCTGTGTTATTCCATACCTGTGTTCAAGTTCTTCTTTATTGGTTCTACCTTGGACTATCACCGTGGTACAAGGAACCGGACCATAACACTATTTCTACATTATTAAAAGTTGCTGTAGTTTCAAAATGCAATATTCGTTTTGTTTCTGGCACAGTGAATCATTACACGAATCCAATATTCTTTTTAATTTTATTCACAAAAGAAAGAAAAATTTTCTCTAATAAATTATTTATAACAAGACAAAGATGTTATGAAATTTTAGTCATTCCAAATGATAAATCTTAACCAAAAAGGCCATTCTATTTATTTTACACAGATAAATATTTGATTTGTAGGATTTGAGCAGATTCACTAATGTGAATCTGCTCAAATCCTACAAAAAATAAATAAAAATAAAAACAATTAAATAATTTTAATTTTCCAACGGGAAGTCATTGTTAAATTATAAATTACAAAGAATATTTATAATTTTCCTCGTTTGAATATATTAAAAGATAGAACTCAACTTTTCTACTGGAATTTAACTTATTAATTTAGTATTTAGTCTTATGGGAACCAATATAATAGTAACTTTAGGACAATTTTTAGGTAGATTACAAAAGTTTTTTTGTTAATTTTACATCAAACCACAAAAGGAAAATCCCAATTAAATTGAATTAACCAAAAAATTAGAGATGACTCCCAATGACAGTGCTTACTCAACATGGCATTAAGTCTAGGATAAATTGATTTTTTTTTTTTTTTTTTTTATTGCTTGTTATCCCTTTATTTTTTATTTAAAGCCAAAACATTTTAGATTCTAAGAATAATTCTCTTTTGTGAGTGAATATTGCATTAACAATTTTGGGGGGGAAAATAATGATTTTTCTAGATAATCCTATTATATATGCCATAAATATGGTTCCCCTGTCCAAAGTTTGGCTGCATCTTAGTATGTCGGCATTAATTTACAGCCTATTAAAAATACATGGTTTTTGTGAATTACCAAATTTTTACTATTTCCTATAATTTTTAAGTAAATTTTTATAATTGTTACTTGAACCATTTAGAATTTATTGGAGATTTTCTAATATTTCACATTAAATTACTCGATGCAATTAAGATTTTTGATTATGAGAGTATACCTCAAAAATGAAAACATTTCAATTCTCTTTGAAGATTTGCTAACCCAAAATTCCAGAAAGAGATTTAAGTACCATTCTATTTAACAGTACAAACATCAAAAATGTCTACTAGAACACCTTACATATCATAAAATATACAAGGATCCAGAAGAGAACACACAAATGTTAGCAATTTTATCAGAAAAAACAAAATATAGGCTTTAATATAAATTTGCAGACAATACTAAGATAGTTTTCTACAATGTGTTCCTATAAATAAACAATTAAAATCTGACTAAAAATTGTATTAAATTAATGGACTGAAACTCTTAAAAATATTTATATAAAAAAAAAAAAAAAAAAATTTTTTTTTTTAAATTACCAGCTTTTATTGAGTATATATCAACATGGACATGCAAATAACATAACAATTATCAACATGAAAGTGAAATTAGCAAGCTTAGTCTAATCCATTCGCTTTCACACAAATGCATTTGCAGGATAGACTGGGTTTTCCAATCTTTGGTGGAAACCAATCTAAAAGAAGGAAAACTCTGAAATCTAGAACTGTGGATATAACAACAGGAAAACACTCCAAGAAAGCATGATAATTCCAATAATGAAAATGAATCTGGAGAGCTATTATTGCCTACATCTTTAAAAGACATGGCATTTAAAAAAAAAAAAAAGGTACAATTCTAAATTAGTTTAACTATACCATTAAGAAATGACGACAATATTTAGCAAGTTTTTACATTTTTACTAGTTATATTTTCGGCATTGGTAATCTAGGATTTTTATCTATAAACTTAAATATTGAGCTTGCAACAAAGAATTCTGCTTTTTAAAATAATTAAAAAGCAAAAATATCCAGAGAAAGCTAATACAAAAAAAAAATAAATGAAATGCAATAGCATATCCCTTATTTCTTTGCAAAATATTCTGTTTTTATGTTAACATGAAACACATTTGCTTATTGATGGCAAGTAATACCTCCTGTTACTGCAATAACGGAATATCTCTTTACTGGGAAAAGGTCAGGTTGTATGATCAATAAATATAAAGTAATATTGTGTTTTATATTATAGACCAGGTAAACACATTCTTCCAAATAATAGTTAAAAAAGTAAGAAAAACTACTTACGAAATTCTTCTGTATTTATCAATTACATATTGTTGTTGCTTTAGTTTTTCATCCTTCATTTTGTATTTATCCCACAATGGAACAATTGTCTTCGAATTAGGTAAATCTTTATAGAGTCCTAACCAACTGAGGTAAGCAATACCCTGTTAAGAAAAATGCAGAAATATAATCTAATTGATATACAGATGAATAAAAACAACAAAAAAAAGTTGCAATATGAGCTCTGGTAAAAACATGCAAAGATAACAAAAAATTGCAATATGATCACTGGTAAAAATAGTTGCTGAAGACATTAGGTTTATAATACACAGAAATTCATACACAGATGTCCTCAAGGACACATGGCACAGTGGATAAAGATGTTGGTTAGATCCAGTGACAGGACCCAAAGAGTGTGAGTTCAATAATCCGGTTAAGGCAGTGGAGAAGTTGGAGAGGGGAATTAACAGGAGATAACTGATAACTGACATCCATTAAACATGGCACATAGAATGAGAACAGTCTACCCCAATGAGCGAAATAAAGGGTTAAGTTTGACATTCCAACCACCTGGAGAAGGCCAAACGTTGTAATAAATATGGTGACAAAGATGAGGACAATGCAAATAATGTAGATGAATAAAATATACAAATGGTATTAATAATTCTTTTTTTTTATCATCAGGTGAAGAGAAATATGGATGACAAAAAGAAAAAAAAAAAAAAAAGAAAAAAAGACAGTGGTTACAATTTAAAAAATGAAGTGGGAAATGCTTTGATTTATTCTTGCTTTAAAACAACTGTTTGAGTACTCTTCATATTGATGAAAACGAGGAAATGACAAAATGAGGCACAGTAGATTTTTTTTCTTAAAATCATTTCACCCACACGCAAAGCAGTAAAGGCACTAAGACACAAGGGGTTACTCAGTGTGAAAGAATATAAGAAAAAAACATTATTAAGGGGTGAGAACAATAAGAGAAAAAGGAATTAAGACAGAAGACAACAATTGACATCGCATTTAAATTTTTGAAGATCAAAGAAAGCAAGGAGCCAGAGAGTTCCACAAGCAAGAAGTGTCAGAACAGAAAACTATTAGTGTAGAACTTACAGTTATATCTAGCCAGTTCAACTGTAAAGTGATGGGACCTTGCTGCCAATCTAGTATTACATTCAAATTCATAAAGTCTAGCTACCATAAAGGAAAGTTCATCAGAACAATTACCATGAAAGTATTCATAGAAAAGACACAGGGAAGCTAAATTATAGCAGTGAGAAAATGACTGAAGCTGAGATGCCAAGTCAAGACCAATAACATTGCAGAGTCTTTGGATTTTATCAAGAATCTCTAAATCAAGGATGGCCAACCTGTAGCGCATTGGATGCTTACAAGTGGCACATTGCATCCTTTTGATGAAAAGAAACTAAGCCACTTCTACTTATTCATTTCAGTGATTTTATATTTATTGCAAATCCTTTGCGAAAGTGCTATAAGTTTGATTTGTGTTTGTCCCATTACTTTTGGTTAAAAATGCTGACATGGTCCTTTTGGTTGACTTGAATGCTTAACTAACTGATAGACTGGATTGTGTCCTAAATCTGAAGAGAAAAAAATAGTCAAAGCATTGATTGATGCCCCCCACCCCACCCCCTTTCAAAACTCCTGGATACGCCCCTGGTCATAAGCATATATTTTTCAAATAGATTTTATTATAACTTAAAAATATGTCAATATTACAACACGTACTGAAAAGAAGTGAATGTTTGTGTGGCACATTTAAATTAATCGTACAAAATATTGGCACATGGAATCAAAAGGTTGGCCACCCCTGCTCTAAATATATAGCAGGAAGACCAGACTAGATGTGGCAGCAATATTGACAAGGCATAACAGTTATGCAAACTAAGGAACTAATGAAGGAAGGGATAATAATTACATGACCTTTCTGATTTGGATCCTACTCTTTATAAGTATTTTTTTATTATTATTATTATTATTATTATTAAACACTTCCACTGCTGTCGACATACATTTTCAAGAAGAGAAAAATTTGCCTGTTATTGATGTAGACATAGATTTTCATGATGTCATTATACACCTTTTCCAAACTCAACATATATATATAGATATGTTTTCAAGATGCTATTTCAAAGAGTTTTACAAATAGGATTACCAACAAAAGCCAGTAGTCAAAATAAAATGATATTTAAAATAAATGTAGCATCTACTCAAATACAAGTATCCACTAAAAATAATGTTTAAAATAATATATAAAACATTTGAAGTAATATATATATATATATTATATTCAAATGTTATAACATCTGAAGTTATATACCATATATATTCTCACATATATTTTGAAGACCTTATATATCAATTTACTGTAGTCAAATTAGCTTCAAAATTAGGTTTTCAAATCCCACATGATAATGCAAATATATACGGTGTATATTATATTCAAATGTTATAACATTTGATATATATATTAGATGTGTGTGTGTGCGCACACATACAAACTACCAATTCAGCTGCCTGAAAAAATAAGTTAGTCTTACCTCAACTTTGTTTTTCACATTGTTCACCTTTGTAAGCAATTCTTCAAAACATTTTGGCATTGTTGTTTGATAAATAACCAAATTTTCTAATGTTGCTAGCCTAAAACAAATGAAAAAAAAAAAGATTTTGTTTTCAAAATGATGAAAAATGTTATATCTAACTGACCCTAACAAACAATCTACTGTAAATAAAATATACTTATAAATGGCAAGAATACCTTATTCTCTCACATAAATTTTAATCAATAAAAATTATAAATACAATAAAAGCTTGTTATGAATTACACATTTTTTAAATTAACAAAATATATAATTTTTTTTACAATATAATAATTATAATGATTGATATTTTTTATTATAATTTATTACACTAAATGGTTAGAACTGTAAATATGTTTTTACTCTATATATATCCAAAAACTTATTTTTAATTTCTGTCTGAATTTCTTGGATGGGGAGTTATCATTATTTACATTGTTTATATCCGGACTGTTGTCCTCATCTTTATTGTTATTATCACGACATTACAAACATTGTGCCTTCCAGCCTTCATCAGGTGTATAACTGCAGTCTATCTTTGTAGATTTAAGAAAGAAGTGTTCCGTTCAGAATTCCTGTTTTCCCAGATACATATACACCTGAGAAGACCAGAGAGTATAATGGCTGAAACATTGTGACAACAAAAACAAGTCTGAGTATAAATAGCGTAAATAATCTTATTTTTAAATTCAAAATTCTTTACTTTTTCTGGCTGATTGTCATGTTAAATTTAGTTAAACATTTTGGATTTTAAAAAGAATAATTGCAACATGAGAAGAATAAGCAAATCCTTACGAAATTCTAGCTTAAATTTCCATCACTGAACTTGTGATTAAACAATATCTGTCATTTAAACATGACATTTCTCCACAAATTTCTTTATATTTGTGACAATAAAATTTATAAAGATTTCATTTTATTAAAATTTTATTTCACAAACGAAAAAAATATTTCTGAGTAAAGATCATCTTGGTTTTGAAAGTAAAAAAAAAAAAAAAAACGATCGAAAAAAGTGACACCTTGATTTTAGGAATATTGTTGATTAGACTAATCAACAATATTCCTAAAATCAAGGTGTCATTTTATTAACTCCAATCGACTGCTGAAAGCACAAAAATGGAAATTAAATTTTGTTTGAACCTAAGTAAAGAGTGCAAGCAAAAAATAAAATCTTACCTTCTTTCAATGTTTTCCCACTGTTCTAAGACTTCATCAGGTATTCGATCTAAAAATATAAACAGAAAATATACAAAAACCCTCTTTCGAGCTGTTAAAACATGTTTCAGTTTCAAAATGACATGCAAATAAAGTGAAATAAAAATAATCCAGACACTAGAAAACAAACAGAGAGAGAAAGGAAATTAAAGAGCCATTTTTTTAAGTATCTGCTCTTAGCAGTTAGTTTGGTGGTCATGCAAGCTATACTACTCCAAGGATATTAGGTTAACACAAAAGTTCCCAGGGTGATCTTTTGCACAATGTTAGGGAAGTCAGAGAAGTGCATGAAGTTTACTAAGCTCTTTATTGCTTGTGAAATCATTCAACAGTAGTATGTTATTTACAAACATCAAGAAAAATTATGAGGCCAAGAAAATATGTTTCTTTGCTTAAGTCCATGTGGAACCTAAGTCAGCATTTAAATAATTGTTCTCTTGATTGAAAGGAAAGTCCTTTTTGTACAAGATGGTCTCTGGTGACAAAAAACAGATTGTGCATTATAAATTATAGAGTCTGGTTAAGTTTTAACATCTAAACCTAAATATCAGTTGGTGAGAAGGGATTCGCTTCTCAGTTTGACGTGATTCAAAGTGAATTCTTTGTCACGAATTTGCTGAAAGCTACCAAAAAGCTGCTACTGTACAGAATTCAAATTAATGAGGAGAATAAACCATCCCTTTTTACTATGCACTTTTAAAAACCAGATTTGTCACAAAGACAGTTATGCCAGCCCTGAGAAGAGTTAAAAGACCAAGGAGGAAGGGGCAGAATTTAGCCCTGACTGTGCAGAATAACACTGCAATTTGTGAAGTGAAGCAGGTTGGAGTGAAGGGAGGAGCAATCCCTATGACTACTCCCAAGGAAGGTGGATAATTCTCCAAATTTGGAAAGTTGGTTAAGAAAGCAGAAATAGGAAACAAAGAAAACCTTTATTGGAATTAATGAAAATTGGGGAATCACCTTCGACCACGTGCCAATTTTGGGCCAAAGTACATATAAACAGCTGACTTTGAGGAGCTTGGAGACTTTGGGCCAAGATCCCACACTGAGTGTCTCTGAAATCCATGTCAGCTGCCAACAGATTTTCTGGTTCCAAGACTTTGAACACAACTACTCCAGAAGTTTAGACAATGCCCAGTGTCACCATAGAGATTGATACGGGAAGTGTTAATTTTTGTTGTACAAAGAGCTACATAAACCAATTGAAGATTAACCCCACAAATCTTTCATTTTGTTTCTTGTCATGAAGATATTTTTTTTCCTTAAAATAGCACTTGCCATGGCTTAAACTAGCACTTCAAGACTACAACCACAGTGTGGACAGAGTTGGTGTAGATCAAAGCAGTCAGTGACCAACAACCAGCTTGAACCAGCATCACTACTGACCAGCATAGAGTTAGCCCCATGGTTAAAACGTTGTTCTAAGACCCTGAGGATCAGACCACTAAAACACGGTTACAACACCAGGTGTAGGCAATGGGAAAAGGTGTTATACATGGTCAAATAATGATGCTATGAATTTTATGAAAGATTTGGAGAAAATTGCTGGAAACTGTTCCCTCAGCTTACTATAAGCATTTATATAATGTGTTTTTCTTATTTTACATGTATTTCAAACATTGCATAATGAATTGTCAAGTCATTATTTGCACTATTTATGTTCAAACTGGCTTTTATCCACATCATATTGAAACACTGGCTCCTGAACAAGTACCTAAAATAATCAATGTCAGTACCAAGAAGGGAATATCAGGTGCTGTAAGCATGAATGTGTGAATGTGTAGGTGGACTAATGGATAATGCCTCGGAATTGTTAATCAGAATTCCAATTCCTGTTGGGTTGGTTATATTCACCTATGTACAAACACTCTTGAGAAAAGTATTAATCCACCTCTTCCACACCAACTATAGGTTAATTATTAAGATTTGTATCACTAAACCATTATTATTTTTTTTTAAATTAAAATAAAAGATATTCTTACAATCTAAAAATATTTTCTGGCTTTAAGTAACCTGCAAAAGTGTAGAAATGATACAATCAATACATTTGAACTATTGTCCTCCTCTTTCAGTATCTGTCTATCTTTCTGAGATGGGGTATTATGTACACTATTTACATTATTCAGACTATTGTCCTCATCTTTGACGGCATATTACGTTTCGGACGTTGTACGTTCCGGCCTTCTTCATGTGGTTGGAATGTCAATCTTAACCCTTTATTTCGCTCACTGGGGTAGACTGTTCTAGTTCCATGTGCCATGTTTAATGGATGTTACTTGTCAGTTATCTCCTGTTAATTCCCCTCTCCAACTTCTCCACTGCCTTAACCAGGTATTGGACTCACACTCTTTTGAGTCCTGTCACTGGATCTAACGCCTTTATCCACTGTGCCATGTGAATAAAGGGTTCAGTTCGACATTCCAACCACCTGAAGAAGGCTGGAGCGTACAACGGCCAAAATGTTGTAATAAATATGGCAACAAAGATGGGTACAATAGTCCGAATAATGTAAATAGTGTCCTCCTCTTTGTTGTTATCACAATGTGTCAGCCATTGTGCCCTCCAATGTTGTGTATCTCGATCTGAGTGACCAACAGAAAATTCCAAAATGGACCCTTTAATAAATTTACGGGACAATAGCCTAGTGGATTAAAGTGTTGGTTTATGAATTTGAACACATAGTAATTGCGAGTTCAATCCCTGGGTTGGGTAGTGTATATTGAACTCAGTGGAAACAGGGTGAGCAATATCTGAGCAGTACTAAAAATAAGAACTAGATGAGATATCCCTAGACATGAGCAGTGGAATGAGAAGAGTCTACACCCATAGATTAAATAAAGGGTTCAGTTCAGAATTCTCTGTAGATTTATAGATTTATATACACTTGATGAAGGCTAGAGGATTGTGATAACAACAATCTGAATGTAAATAATGATAACCAGAAAAGAAAAGTCATTATATAATGACTCAATATAACTAATATCCTCATCTAAGTTATTTTTATCAAAACATTTTGCCTTGGATTCTTCAACCTTCAAATGTATAAAATTGAAATCCATAACTTTAACACATTTATTTATTTATATATATATATATATATATATATATATATATATATATATATATATATATATATATATATATATATATATATTATATTATATTATATTATATTATATATATATATTATATTATATATATATATATATATTATATTATATATATATTATATATATATATTATATTATATTATATATTATTTTATATTATATTATATATTATATTTATTATATATAATATTATTTATATATATATATATATATATATATATATAATATATATATATATATATATATATATAATATATATATATGTGTGTGTGTATGTGTCCAAAAATAAAGGTAAATTTATTTTAGGTTAGTATTGTGAAATGGATTTGGCAATTTATTTTATATATACAGACCAACTAAAATTATTATTTTTTATGTTTATTTTTGGTAAAAAATATCCATAATAGTTTTAGATGTAGTTGTAATTATTTTCATGTTGTTTAAATTCAACAAATTGTTTTGTATAGTGGATGTTATAGAGTTAGTAGGTAGTATTATGTATCTATTTTATCTATTGTTGTTAATGACATTGTTATTTTTTTGTGGTCATATATTCTGTATACCTTTCTCTTAATATTGTGGATGAAATAAGGAGGACGATTTTGAAAGGATTTTCTATGTATATTTCTTCTTTGGGTAAATATTGGGGGCTGCAGATTCTTAATGTTCTTAAATAGAATCCTATAATTATTCCCAGTTTGATCTTGTTACAGTGGTAGGAATAAAAATTGACTAAGTCATTCTTGTTGGTAGCTGTAATCCTCAAACTAAAGTTCATTGTTATTTCTGCGCACTATGGTATCTAGGAAAGGTAAAGTGTTGTTAGATTCAGATTCAAAAGGTGAAGTCTATTGTGAGTTCAGCATTATTTAGTTTGTTGACAAGATCGGGTAAAATGAGTGTTCCTAAATTTTGAAAAACCAATAACAATTTTGCTCTTGTATATAAATACTTGTTACAAAATGAAATCCTTGCATTTGCCTTGATAAAATCTCTCAGAGGACAAAATGCATCAGCTAAGATAAGTTTTCCTTTTGTCTATATTCATATTGGCCTTTTACAGATACCCTATCTGAAATTTCTGTTTCAGATCTCGTTATCTCTACAGTTGGAAGTTGGGGAGTTGGTAAGATCTGAATATGTGTAAGAACAAAAATAGTAATGATACATTTCCAAATTTCCGATCACAAGACAAAAGTAATCAAATAAAGAAAAACAAAAAAAAAAACAGATTCAAGTGTAATTAATACATCACTGTCAATACCAAGCGTACAGAATCAGATACAGTATACAATTTTAAAGATAGTAAATCAGAAGTCATTCACTTCACAATAGAGAGAAATGATTTGATATAAATTTAAATATGATTATGTTTTTCTCCCTAGAATACTATACAAAAAGTCTTAAAATATTAACAAATAGTCACTGGAGATTTTTTTTTTTAAAAAAAAAAAAAAAAAAAAGGAACAAAACATAATACGGAAAAAAGCATTTTATACTTTTAACTAATGAACTGGATCTAGGTTCCTTTCTGTAATGACTAATGTTCTTAGTATTTTTGTCGATATAAAAGATAGAGATTTTTAAATATTTACTGAACCTAACCTAGACTTGCTGCAGGCAACATAGTGAGGTATCTACTGAAAACTCACCAATAATTGCTTGTAAGTGTTGATATAAAAAGAGTTAACAAATATATAAACATTATTTGTTTACATACCTCGCCATACTTTAGCCACTACTTCAAGTTGGTACCGATCATCAGGAGTATTTACAGGAATATTAGAAGAAATTTGCAGGAAAAATCCTTTCTGATTGTGTAATTTCAGGATATCATTAGGACCAGCCTCGGCAATACTTCGGAACGTTTCTAAAATGAAATAATACTAAATTAAGATCAAACATTATGTTCTTATTGCTTCGAAACAAAAAATTACTGAATATACAAATCTTATAAAAAAATCTTATAAAATAAACAATTTTTTTTTTTTTTTCAATGGATTTTTCAGTCACTAAAAACTTAATTTTCAAATCCTGGACCATGAGAGGCAAGTGTTGCAATTTTTATTACAAATTCTTTGTTTTATTTTAGTTAATTGTTTTTTGTTACTTTAATTTCTAATAAAAGCAGTTTATCCTGAAAAGCAGACATAAAATTCCTCATCTCTAAAACAATCTTATCAGTAATTACTTTTCTGTTTTTTTGGGATATTTTTTTTTTTTGTAGATAAAATATAAACTGTAATACAGTCAACATAGATCTTAAAAAATGAAAATTACACAATAAATAAAAGAAATATTCATCCATAGGAAGAAGCATACTGGTATTTTGTCAATAAAGTCAAGTATAACCTCCAGCAATATAATAATACATTTGATTGATTATCAATGTTTTTTTATAAATTTTTTCGCCATATTTTTTGCAAGTATTATAACCTGCAAAAAATATGGTGAAAAAAATTTATAAAAAAAAACTAATTGATAATCAATCAAATAGAAATATTTTTGCAATGTAAGAATTTTTTCCGTTTCTAAAATAATGGTTTAGTGATTTGAGTCTTAACCTATAGCTCTGCTGTGAAGTCATATCCTTCCTAAGGATATTTCCGTGTAAGTGAATATAACAAACACGACAAGAATAGGAATATGACCCTCCGATTAACAATTTGTGGCCATTAACCATTACACCACCCGCATATCCAGGCTTACAGCACCTGGTATTCCCAAAGTATCACCTAACTAGGTACTGACCAGGCTTGATGTTGCTTAACTTTGGTAATCATACAGGAACCAGTGTTTCAATATAATGTGACTGTAAACTTAAGAATACTGTTAAGGAAATTGAGAAATTTTTAGCATTTCAAAATTTAATAGTAGTTGATTATCATATTCATTTCTTGGAAATATAAATTTCAGAATCTTTCAAAAAAAAAAAAAAAAAAAAAAAAAAAAATTAAAATGCTGTTTTTAAATACAATTATCTTGAATGAATTTTGATTTTATCATAATAATGAGATGCAATCAAGATCATAAAAGCCATAATATACTTCAGAAATTGTTTTCATTACAAAGTAGTTTCAAACTGTCTTTTGAATAAAGTAAAGTTGATTTTGTTATCAATTTAAACAAATGATGAAAGTTCAAATTTATTTTGTTAAATTGGCAAGATCTGTTTTGTAATGTTAAATACCACAAAATATTTTAATAAAAATAACTTGTTTTTTTTTCCCCAATTAGTCTTTGTTGTTTGTTCATATAAAAAGGTGAAACTAATACTGAATTGCTTATTGATTATCCAGACTTTTACAAAAAAGCCAATTTATTTGTTTGTTCAAATGAAAATAATTTTCATTTTTTGCTTCACTGGAGCTTTAAAAAAAAAAAAAAAAATTAAATACAATTAGGAATGTAAAATTGAGGCCAAATATTTTTTTATAACTAATTAAACTGATTGAACAAACAACTTTTTTTCTTGCATTATGAATTTTAATGACCTTAAAGTCATCCAAGACAATTCTATTTTCAAAAAAGCATCAGTTGTTTTTTTCTTTTTCCTGGAAAAATTCTAGTTTTAGAACACATTTTTCAAGAAGTGAAGCAACGATTAAATTTTTCTTTATTAAATATCTTTGTCATATATAAAAATGATCATGGCTCTTCACAGATCCGATTTTTTACTATCTGTGAATTACCATCACTTATTGGGAAAGATAGGGAAGTTGTTTCTCCTATTGCTTTTTCCAGTAAAACAAAATAAAAGATATGAAAATCTATTCTAATTAACTAGCAATGTCTTGCACAATAATACCAGTTGAATACAAAAAAAAGTTTCCATTTTTTTTAATTTTATATGAATTATATAATTAAATACTTGTATCTATAAAAAAGAACATTAAACATAAAAATGTCTTTAATAAAATAAATTGTCGGACTTTGTCCATTTCTTAATATATGACGTCATTTGTTTACATTTGATACGCCAGAGCAGTTATGAATGTACGAGAGATTCATGGAAGATTGAAGTTTATAAGCAAAAATTGACCTTGCCTATATAATATCCTTTGATCCAGATTGGTTAAGGCACATCAGCGTAAATGACGGTTCCGTATAGGATGCAGGTTCGAATCCAGTCTAAAAGGACGAATATTTTCTATGAAAATTTCTCGGACATTCAGGCCAGTAAATGTTATTTAATACTGTTTATTATAAACAGAGCATTTACTTAAATACTTGTATCTATAAAAAAGAACGTTAAACATAAAAATGTCTTTAATAAAATATATATGTATATATATATATAAATTAGGAGATCAGCCAATTCCACTACCTTGGTTTCAAACTTTTGGTATCTTCAGGTAATTTTGGTCAATTGATTTCATAACATTTTATTTTTAATTAAAAATTTATAAATTCTATGTTTTTAACAAATAAATAATAGAATAAGCACATGATGTGAGGTGTGATAGTAGGTGTGGAGGAGGGAGAAAAGCAAGTGTATTAGAATTATATCAGTGGTGGGGAGGATTAAATGAAACATACATACTTTCTTTTCATCCAACTTTATGTGAACTCAAAAGGAACTTTTTAGTATGTATACAACAGGGTCATAATTTCCAGTCACTGGTTCAAAAGTTTTTTTTTTGGTCTGGAAATGTTATTATAGCTCATTTTTCTTGTTGACAAAGGTTGCAGATGTTGCTATGATTGTTGTAAAGTGTTCTTTTTTTTTTTTTTTTAATTTTCCAGTTTACAAATGGATCATTTTTTTTTCTTTAATTTCCACACATGGTTGGCTAGTTTAGTAGAATTGCTAAGGTTTTCTAGCCTAAAAGATGACTTATAATTGTACCACTTCTTAAAGTTACCTTCAGCAAACTATGTATATAGGTAGCAGAATCAGCTGATTTCCTAATTTTCTATACTTAAAAGTTTACAGGTTAAATTTTTATCTTTTTATATGTGTATTGAGCACTTTTTTAATACTACTGTTTTTTGGTCTAATTCAACTCTGACCATTAACTTTTTTAATATAATAAAAAAAATTTATATGGATTAAAATCTGACAGTGATATGATACAAATAGGAAACATTTATAAGATCTTCCCCAATACTAAGTATGATTGAAAGAAATATTAAAATAAACCCTCTCTAAACTCGACCATGTTTCTCACACCAATCCTCATATTACCCTCTCTGATAAATTACATAAACTTAATAAATTTGGTCAAAAGTGTGAATTTTCATTTCATCTTTCGGAAGTAAGTGTTATCTGATGATCCAGTGTCCTTTAAAAAGGGCTCTGGTGAAATAAATTATTATAATGGAACCTTAAAGTGGTCTGTTTTATATATATATATATATATATATATATATATATATATATATATATATATATATATATATAATGTTAATTTGTTCCAATGAGAGAAAAATGTATATTTTAAAAAAAAGAGAAAAACTGCAAATGCTTTTGGTCATAATGTGGATTTGTTTTAGTGTATTGTTTTCAAAGGCAAATCAAGGATTTTTTATTTTTAAAAAAAAATTTAACAGAGAAGTATAAAAAAATATTGTTAGTTTTTTCAGAATTTTTAAAATTAACAAACTCAAATATTCATCAGGCTGAAAAGTCTATGTAAATTATGGAAGATGCTAAGTGATATAATTCAATGCCTAATAAACAAAAGGGAGTAAATGTTGGTCAATTTCTACTTTTTATAATGTAATTATTATTTATATTATTTTATTTTGTGAAAGTACTTCTTTTATTATATAAATAATAGATTTTGAATTTAACCATTTTCTTTTAATTTTTAAAATAAAATTTATAGTCATATAGATTTGGGAAAGAATTATTTCTTTTAGGAAATGAGATATTTGAAAAAATATCCAGGCCACAGATTTATATTTTGGCAAGATTCAATAGCAACACTCTCAAGGATTTTCTGTCTAAATAAGTTACTTTCTTTTAATAAGTGTAGCATTCTTTAGAGCAAATTTTTGGTTGAACTTATTTCTATGCATGACTAATGTATTTGATAAATTGTTAGGCATGTGTGTTTTTTCTACTGTGTATTTAGTCTACTTTTTAAAATAGAAGACACTAGGTGTTTTTTTCACATGCACATTAATTACATTACTATTCTAATCAAAACAAATACTGTCAGTTAAGGAAGTCTAAACCAGTCAGACATTACTAAATAATCAATTATTTACGTCTACATAATGCAGTAAATTCAAGTTAACCAATAACGTCTGCCAAAATTGACAATGACTATAGCAGACATTTTACAGCCACATCCTGGTCAGATATAGAAAACAGACTGCCTATAGTCATTTATTCACTCTTTTTGTCTGCCATCATGGCATGTCAGTGAAAAAAAAAATCATTGTCAGGATAAATAGTGATAAATCAGAGTATACACAGATAGGTTCCTGACTTTTTTTTTTTTATAGTGTATTAGTATGAAAGTAATATAAGCAGCTACAAGCAGAATTTGAACTTTGAATAAATTGTATTTTCTGTGTGTATAACAATTATACCAACTTGTATTTCACAAATTAACCAATAACACTAAATACTTATAATCTCCATCTCACACAGAGTCATAATTTTATTTCATCTTAATCATGGAAAAAAACTGATATACTAATTTGCTATAAATCATCCGGGATTAATTTTTACTAGTCAAATCCCCATCTTACAAATATTTCTCTTAATTTAAAAATAATTCAGCAGACAATTTTATTTTATTTATGGTAACCGAATTTTTAGCAATTACCTTATTCAGTTTCTGTCATTCGATCGTCTGAAAAATGTCCCTCATCAATCACTATCACTTCTCGGCCTTTTCGCTAAGATCAAAGTGTAGTATCTGTTCTTATCCACATTCTCTCTCTCCACTTCTATGTTCCCTTCTTTCTTTCTTTCTTTCATTTTCCAACTGAAACCAATAATGCCTTTTCCGCTCTTTCCCCTGAATAGTCCATTATTTATAAGGTATTTAAATGGCATAAGAGCTGTATGAACTAATGAAGGGAAGAACAAGCACAATTATAATAGGATTTCTCCTTCAATTTTGAACTTCTCCAATATTTTGGAAAGCCAACATTAGAAATATTGTAGAGACTTCTTATTTTTTGCAAGACACTTATTTTTTGTATTTTATGGCATATCAACCTTTCGTAGGCTACTTATAGGCAAAAATATTTTTAGATTGTATATGTTTTTTTTTGGTGGGGGGAGATAATTTATTGAGACAAGTCCTACTAATTAATCCATAGCTGGGGGAAAGAACAGATGTATTCCCACCTTTCCCATAGTTATTTGCACATAAGTGAACATAGCGAACAGAAATGGAATTGAAACTCAAC